TGTGTTCATGCGTCCTCTGTTTCCTTTGGCCACACTACACGTTGTGGTCTCGGTTTGGCCTTCACGATGTCGCCTGACTGGAAGGACTGTCACAGTGGTATATTTCTGTTGGTTGTACACTCTGGCCCTTTCCTCACTCAGCAGCTCCTGCTTCTCCTAAAGTAGGAGCATTCACCTGATTGGGGGATCGCATTTGACCATTTACTGACATGTTCCTTTGAATTCTGTACAGTAGTTATGGTTGCTCTTTGGTTTAGACCAAGAAAAAGGACATCGCCCCCCTTTTCATTTACATCTCGGTTTGAGGACAAATCTTCTGTAAGGGAGAGGAAAGGGAAATCCTTCATGTTTTCACTGAGGTGAATTAATGGCTCCAGGTTCACCACTCCAAACCTTACGGCGGTTCACATACACATTCCTCTGTCTCGCTGCCAAAGGCTTGGGTTTAATTCACTTCGGCCCCACTCGAGCACTCACAAGGCTCTCGTGGAGTCTGGGGCGTGCCCCATGAAAAGATGGGGGCTTTTTAATTGTCCACAGACCTCTCTATACCTGCTTTGCAAAAATTATGGAGTAACTATTTTTAAAACTTATTTTTGAATTCATAAAAAAAAAACATTTATTTTCAGTCAAATGGATGGTGTCTCCCTCTTGTCCCTTAATCCTCAGTGTTTGCTTGAATCTTTTTTTTTTTTCCTCAATTCTTCCCGAAATCAACTTCTTGATACTTTGGTTCTCTTTCCTGCTCAGGTCCCTTCATTTGTACTTTGGAATTTTTCTCATGTAAATTTGTACAATGGAAAATATTGTTCAGTTTGGATAGAAAGCATGAAGAATTAAAAAAAAAAAGATAGCTGAAACTCAGATTGAAGAAATTTATTTCTGTGTAAAGTTATTTAAAAACTCTGTATTATATAAAAGGCAAAAAAGTTCTATGTACTTGATGTGAATATGCGAATACTGCTATAATAAAGATTGACTGCATGGAGAAGTCTTCATCAACATTATTTTTCCAGCACTCTCGCATTCAATAGCGGAAATAGGGTTTTGACAGTCAGTTCTTCCAGGCAGTGGAGGGCCTGGGAATTGCACGTTTTATTTCACACATACAATGTCAGTGGGTTGACGTTACTTAGAGAAGAAATAATTTTAAAGTAGGTTGTCAGCTGGATCGCTCCTACACTGTGCTGGCCACACTGTAGCAGGGTGGCCCTCAGGTATTTTGATTCTGCGACCTGACTGCTCCCCCAAGGGCTCAGGTGAAGTGCACGCTGCAGTGGGGGCATTTAAGGAGTCTGCCTGGAGCTTTCAAACTGTTTTTGACACAACTTCCAGTAATACATTTTCTGTCGGAACACAGAATGTACATATATATTTGAAACTATGTACTCAGTTTTTTACTTCATTTTTTTTAAATACTGGTTACCCCGAAGAGTTGGTTTTTGTGCATTTTATTTCAGTACTTGAAGTTTGAAAGATAACTGGAGTATCTTCAAACCATGTCAGATTACTGAGCAAAGTTTCCAGAAGTAAACAATTTTGAAGCTTCACCTGGAAGCACTGCATTTGAGAACAATAGGAATGGAAAACTTGAAGATGGCATGTATTTGAGGCATATGGTGTCTGCTCTTCATGCCCCCTCCAACTATTCATAAAAGACTGCCCTGACTTCAAAGTATTTACTCTGAACTGCAGTTTTCTCATCTGAAAAGTGTTCTTGTGTGATAATACCTTAAAAACTCGTTTTCTAAATAACCTTCATATACATGATCACAACCATCATGACTTTATTTTTAAAGACTAGTATATAAGAGGTTTTCCTTAATAGTCCAGCATTGTGAATGCTCTAATTATTGTGATAAAATCCTATTATTAAAAACCCTATCCCACTAGCTTTTCTGAAATTTTATCAGAAGCTGTGGTAAGTGGACCTACTGTCTGAGCGAGTTCTCCTAGATAAAATACTGGGACAGAGAGTTCTTAATCTGGTCCAAGTCTCATCTCAGTTACTGAACACGAGGCCCCAAGGATGACCTGCCTGGGCTGAGCCAGGACTGAAGTCAGGACTTGTTTCCAAGATCAGTACTTTGTGTTTCGTATCATTTTGTTATGGTCATGATGCCTGTCATGAAATTTGGATAGAGATGGGTGTTGATTTCGTGAGTTTGTGGCCAGCAATGGATATTGTGCAAGGGATACTCCACTTGCCCCTGCTGCCTTTCTTAAGCAAGCCACTGCTGGTGGAGCTGACAAAAGGCAAAGGCCCAGCTGCTGAGGCAGGTCAACTGCAAGTCAAGCGGCCCCCTCCCCCACCCCCGGCTTCCTCCACTGCACAGTTACTGTTCAGCGACACTCTTGAGACCGTGGCCATAGGCAACCAGATTGACCTCTTCTACAGAACAGTGCTAGTAGTGAGTGGAACCAAGATTACTTCTGACCTTCCTGTAATATGCATATCGTGGGTGTTCTTTAAAGTTACTTCCTGTCTCTAACTTTATTAGATAACCCATTATGTTAATTACACTCGTTTCCACAGGAAACTAAGCTGCAAATTTGGGTTAAGACAGGACACCTGATCTCTGTTGCCATCAGTAATTCCTTCACTACCTACCTTTTCATTTGTGAAGATCCACCTCTACCTCCCAGGCACGACCACAACCTTACTTTAAACGTACCTTTGGTTCCTCATTAGGAAGACATCCTATCTGTCTGTCTTGTTTCAGGCGGAGGTGTTGCCACACCACACCTGCTGGGAGCTGAATCTATCTCCATATGAAGGCTTTTCTATAAAGTCAAACTGGGATTCGGGGGTCAGTATAGACTTAGCTGAGGCCCAGTGGTCTAGAAATGTTACTTCCATTTAGAGTATTTCCTTCATGCCAGACAGAATTCTGAGGGCTTTATATGCTAACCCACTATCTATGGCCAAACTCACAGCTGGTAAATGGTAAAGCTGTGAGTCAGATCCACTAGCTCTCCTCCAAACCCGGACTTCTTAAACTGTGCCAGTTTTTCAAGCTGCGAGTTGAGACCCTCTGATGATTAGTAAAATCAGTCTCAACCATCTTTTTTTTTTTCATAGAGTAAGAAAACAGGTGCATCACAAGGTAAGTACTGTTTCATAAAACTTTCAGATTATTTTTGTGTGCGAGATTTTTAGATCACAATGTAAAATTAAGAATGGTCATGAGGGGGGAGGGAGATATAAGGGGGATAAATGATAATGGAAAATGTTTTTTGTTAAAAAAACAAAAGTAGTTCATAAAAGTTTACGTTGTACTAACTCTGAGATAAGCTGACTAGGGTCAGACAGCCAGGATTTGAACCTCAGCTCAAACTGGCTGTATGAGCTTGGGCCAGTGACCCAACCATCTATAGCTCATCTTCCTCATCTATAGGATGAGGATTTAATAAATTAACACATTTATTAAGTTTTCACTATTATTTAACTGTATTGTATATAGCCAGCCACCAAATGTACTAAGCATTTCTTTGGGACCCTCTCCCACTTACATACTTTCCCAGAAGCTGTAACAGCCTTTGAGAGAAGGCTGGGGACAACTTTCTGCATCAGCGCAAACTGGTTTTCCGGTCCAAGTATGGAAAAGAGGATACAGTGTGCAGAGGCCACACTGGCTGAATTTAGAAGGTTACCATTTTAAAGTTATCTTTTACTTCAAGTCAGGCCATTTTGATTACTAAGGAAAAGAACTAATGACATTACTCTAGTTAACTGTTATAAATTGTATCCTTCCCCAGTTTTCTTGATATGGCGGACAAGGGGCAACAGAAGTGAGAAGTGAAAAGCACAGAGATCTCATGGTCTTTCAGACTATTTATCAAATGAGAGCGCACTCTTGCACAGGTGAGCCAGCACCCCGTGCAGCGGGCGTGGGACTGCTGGGGCCCGCAGTCGGGGAGGGAGGCTGTTGGTTCAGCGTTGCTTCAGCTTTGCCTGTCACTGTGCACACTGGCAAACTGAGCAGCAGAGCACTGAGTGCAAACCTAAGGACTAGGAGTGCTCATCAGATCACACGCCACCCACCCCACCCTGCTCAGCACCTGCCAGACTTGGTCCCACCCTAGACTTTGATTCTTGCTGTTCCTTGTCCCTACAGCACTTTCCCCTCAGGCCTTCAGAAAACTGGTTCCTCCTCCTCCTAGTTCAGGTTTCAGGTCAAATGTCCCGCCCACCCAAAAGACCAGCCCTCTCAGCACTTCACCCAGTGTTACTTCCTTCATAGCTAGTCAAATTTACTTACTCTTTTTTCCCCTCCCTAAAATCTAAGTTCCCTGTGAACAGAATCTTATGTCTTGTTTAGCACTGTATTCCCAGTGCCTAGGTGGTCAGAAACCCAAAATAAAAATATGAAGAATTATGTTTCCAAGCAAATCATTAAGCCACTCTACCCCGCAGATTTTTACCTGTGGATAGAGGAAAACCCTGTGCTGCATACTCTCAGAATTGTGATGCTACACACAGTTGGAAAGTACTTTGAAACAAACTTTAGGAAAAGTAGAGTATCCGTTTCGCCCTTGTCTCCTATTTCTCCAGCCCTAAGAATTCCTAGTTGGAAATGTTTTATGAGTCCCACAAATGGTCACTGAACACAGTACCCAGCCCACAAGAGAGAACGTAAACACAATGAATGGCCTGCCCTGACCTCTCACCTCTGTACACTCAGGGCCACAAGGCACCAGCAGTAGAGACATGGCAAGTTTTCACATTCCCACTCAACATACGTGTGACTAAGCCATCAGCTAGAGAGGCAGGCAGTCTTGTCACTGCAGCTAAGTGTGGGGTCAGACTTCATGGCCCCACCCATCAGTGTCACCCCAAGCAAGTCACTTCATCCCCTAGAGCCTCGATGTCCTCACCGAGGAAAGGCGCTAACAGCAACCTGCGCCGGGGGCACCCAAGAGGATCTGTCAGCAGTCGACACAGGAAACAGTCCAAAAATGGTGGCTGCCATCAGAAACATCCACAACTCGCCGCCTCATTTTCGACCAAAACACTTTATTTTACAACTTCAATATCCAATATGAACTGCAGTCCATAATTTATTGAACTTCTCACCTGGCTTCTGCAGAAAAACAAAAACAGGAAGCTTTAAGTACTTTTATTTCTAATAATGCAAATCCATAATTCTGTTCCTTCAATTACTGAAGCACCCACTCAGCACTAATCAGGTGAGTAGCCTTGTAAAGGAGGGAAGCAAAATCACCATGCTCCCTCAAAATCACCTTACAGTCTAGTTATTAAAGCAAAATGGTAATGACCGTGTGTGGGAATGGGACGCCTGGAAGAGGGCAGACAGGAAGAGGTCAGTGCTGGCAGACATGTTAACTGAGGAGAAGCAGAGGCCTGGGGAGGGCTGGGACCTCGCACTGTCCTTAACAAACCAGGCACGTACAAGCTGTAGAACAGCCTGAACTGCCTGCCCTTCGGTGACATTTTTTCCCATCCCACTCCTCCCTGCATACCCAAAAACTGCTCTTAATTTTCATGACAATAAACTACTTCTAAATAAAATTATAAAGGTGCCCTGGCTGAGGCGGCTCAGTGGACTGAGTGCTGGCCTGCGAATGAAAGGGTTGCCGGTTAGATTCCCAGTCAGGGCACAGGCCTGGGTTGTAGGCCAGGTCCTCAGCAGGGGGCACACGAGAGGCAACCACACACTGATGTTTCTCTTTCTCCCTTCCCCTCTCTCTAAAAATAAATAAAATCTTTAAAAAAAAATAGAGAAAATTATAGAGGCAATACTAATAATACAATTTTTTTTAAAGATTTTATTTAATGAAATAGGAAGATGAAAAGGAAGATGAGACCAAATTAAGGCAGTTGCTCAGGCAGGGGCGGGGGGGGGGGGGCGGAATGTAGCAAATGTGAAAATACTAAATTCAGAAATGAGACATATGATATAGTTAATTGTTCTCCATACTGTCAGGAAATACATATTTCTTCAAGACCATCACAGGTACAAGGTCAAAACAAGCGTTACTGACAAGAGGTAAATATAACTTAAAAAAAGAATAGTAATTTGAGTCATACCCGCTTGTACAGAGTTGAGTCCACGTTTTCAGTCTTCATCATCAGGAGGGATCCCTAATTCTTCATCCGTCCACTGGGAAGGGTCTGGATATGGAAAGTGACCCTGTGTGATGTCATTAAAACAAAAACAAAAAAAAATCAAGACTCTATACACCACACAATTACATTTAAAAAGAAATTTTGAGAAGAAAATAAATATGACAATGCTGTAACATACACAGCCCTGACATGCCCCAGGAACAGATCCTACCACTTCACTCGGTCGAACTGCTCTTTCGTCTGTTCAATATAAGCTGTGGCCTAGAGTTTAAGAGCCTGCCATTCTGAAGCCACCCGCCTGAGCCAGTTTGAGAATATGATTACGATGGAAGCAGCAGGTTTCCGATGCCCCACATCTCAACAATGTCTTGAGGCCCTGGCACAATACAACACATGTCTCAAACTGTCCTGTCATTCCTGCTGGGATCTGGGAGCCGAAGGTGGACTCCTGCATGGTCAACCCCGATCTGGGGCACATCTGGCTGCACCGCCGTCTCACGCCAAATGGCCACAGCCTCCTGACAGCTCGCCCCGAATGGGCTGGGTGTCTATGTGCCGCCAGGACAGACACTGGGTGGCTGCTCACTGGGCAACTGCATTCAGTAGCTCTAAGAGAAATCGGACATTAATCAACCTGATGCTTCTGAAACGTGTTTCACATTTTTTCCTACCCTAAAAACAATACCAAATTTACTAAATTTACTAAAATTCAAAGTACTCTGGATCAACAAGCACAGATTTCAGTGGCTTAAAGGCACCATTTTCTAGTGGGTAGGGTGTGTGCAAATGCAATAAAACTTCCTCAAATTAGGCCACATCTACCCCACCCAATCTGGCTGCCTTGGGCCTCCAGACAGACTAGATGACTGTCATTATTTAGAATTTAAGTGTGAAACCTAACCTGCTGATGAACCCCTAGTTCAGAAGGTAAAAAGAATTAGTTTCTAGTCTCCCTCCAAACACGGCAAACTATCACATAAGACATGGACTACCTACATGTGCACCCTTTCATAGAAAAGGTAAGGTATGTTTCATTAAAAGATTACTGCATACACACAGGACAACATGAAGGGATATGCAGTAGTCACCCCTTATCCAGGGGGGTTCATTTTAAGACCCCACTGAATGCTTGAAACCATGGGTAGTACTGAATCCTATGCATACAATGTATTTTCCTATATATAAATGCCTTTTCCCTTAAGGAAGCACTTTACAACATCTCTTCGGCAGATCTGAACTACAAGCATCACTACCCTTGTGCTTTGGGGCCATTATTAAGTAAAAAACGGGTGACTTGAACACAAGCACTGTGACACCGCAACACTCAATCTGATAACCGAGCACGCTCCTAAGTGACTACCTGCCAGATAGCGTATAGTGTGGAGACAGTGGACAAAGGGACAGTTCACATTGCTGGCATGACTGAGCAGGACAGCACGACATTTTATCACACTACTCAGAACGGTGCACAATTTCAAACTTACAAATTCTTCTAGAATTTTCCATTTAGTATTTTCAGACCATGGTTGACCCAGGTTATTAAAACCATGGATAGAAAAACAGTCTACACCCACAGAAAAAATAAAACAAGCTAGGCTATTAATATTTCTTCCCCCTTCCCACCCACAAGGAGGAGAACATTCCCCTGCACTTACCAGCACAGCATCTGAGTCGTGCCAAAAGCGCCAAAGAATCCAGAACCACATGGTTCCACTGAAGAACTCAGCCCGGATCACCTGGGATCTGGTGAGCTGGGGAAACTGTCTGTACCGTGGCTCAATGTGCACACCGCCACCAGCACTATGAGAAAAAAAGGAAAACGTTAAGCAGGTTGGTGCATCTTCAAAGTATTCAGTCGTCCACAAACAACTCAGTTACATCCAGAAAGGAAAGTCAACATTTATCTTCTCTCCATGAAATATAGAATGATAGTGCTCCAAGATCCCTCAAAATATTCATGTTTCATAAAGTTTACTTTAAACCTGTATAACAGCAAAACTGGCCTGAATTGACGAGACCAATTATGATTCTCCTGTAGAGAATATTCACGTATCTCGCACCTGAAATATGAATGTGTTGATAATGAGGTACTGGTCCCAAGAGTTTTGGTTAAGAGATTGTGAACCTGTAAGTAGTCACTAGCTTATCCAGAAAAACAAGCAAATTAATTTTGTTCTATTTTAGCCATCTATTTCAAAGTCAAAGGATGCCTTCTTTATTAGAAGACCACTCTATGGGAAAGAAGACATTGTAACAATAGGCTGCTTCTTTGATAGGTTTTAGATGCTATCTAATTAAAAGGACCCATCATTTAAACTCATTAGGTAAGATTTGAGAATGATAGTCCAAACCCACTCTTCACATTTCATTATTGCTAGAGTGACATATTATTTTAACTATGACTTGAAATAAGTGGGTATCCCAAACCAGGATTTTTAAGTGTCAAGTTTAAACACAAAAATGCACCACAACTCTGAGAGAAAGTTACGTTCTTAAAACATCAACCAGATCATATTACTTTGAGGCTTAAAAGCCTGTATTCCTTCCCATCCCATTTGGTTCTTATCACCTACAAGGCCCTCCTGACCTGGGCCCGGCAGGTCTCTCCGACCCCCACCTCTACCACTCTCCCCTCTGCTCATCCCACTCCACCTCCCAGCTTGCTGGCCCATCAGCAGCACCAGAGCCTCTGCACTCACTCTCTCCTCCGTGGAGCAGCTCTTTCTGGCATCTTTGCTTGGCTGACTTCTCATCATTCAGGTCCTGGTCCAACTCAAACCCTCAGGCATGCATCTCTACATCATCCTGCACACAGTAGCACATCCCCCATCCCAGGCGCTCTAAATTAATCCCCCGCTTTATTTTCTTCATGTCACTTAATAGTACCTAGCCCTGGCTGGTGTGTCTCTGGGGACTGAGTGCCAGCCTGCAAACCAAAGGGTCGCTGGTTGATTCTCATTCACGGCACATGCCTGGATTGCGGGTAGGTTGCCCAGTAGGGGGCGTGCGAGAGTCAACCACACATTGGAGTTTCCCTCTTTCTCCGTCCCATCCCCTCTCTAAAAATAAAATCTTTAAAACAAAATATTATGCTTAAAAAAAATAGTACCTAAACATATATTTTCTTTTCTATTTGTGTCCTCTCTCTGGAATGGAAGCCCCCATTATCTGTCCTGTTTTCTGCTCTATCCCCAGCACCTAGAAAGGATCCTGGAATCTAGAAGATACTCCATATGGATTATGGATACTCCATAAATACAGGACCCAGCAGAAGTAACGCCTGCTTGAGTGTGGTTGGTAGGGTAGTAATATGGGTGTAATAATTTAGTTTTAATTTGAACATTTCACCTAAAACGTCATATGGTGCGCTTGAGCGACATTATTATGTTACAGTATTACATACTTATGATTTTATAATAAAAAAGAGGCGTTATTTGTGCCAGACCCTGTATTTATTCACTTAATTACCACTCACACTGTGAAACTGGCATGTGCTATGGAAGTACTAAGACTTCAGTGAAGAGGGGCACCCCCCAGTCTCCCCACGCAGAGTCAAGGGCTACTGCTGGTAGCTCTCCATTGCTGTCTTTGCTCAGGTCACCTAGTCCTCCTTCTTCCTGCTCCCCACCTGTCCCAGATGCATATCCTTAATAAACATGTAACTTTAGGCAAGTCACTCCTTTAATTTCCCCAAGTCTCAGTTCCCTCACAACATAAGTTAAATAAAACCTGTATGGTCCTTACCATGCACAAGCAACTGCCCTAAAACACTTTAGAGAACTGTAGTTCATTTAACTCCCTAGAAGTCAACATCATTATCCCCATTACATAGGTGAGAAAACCGGAGCATGAAGAGATAAAGAAACTTCCAAGGTCACACAGCTGGTGTGGCAGGCACTCTCCTGCACTGCCTCTTGGTAAAGCGTAGAGGATGATCTAAGGGGCCTTCAACAACACCTGGAAAAATCCAAGGTACTATTTCCAGCACTGCTCTTACTCTCCCTGCACTACCAGCTCGTTTTTGGCAAGTGCCCTCCCTTGGCATCCAGCGCTACGCTCTCTCACCAGGTGACTCTTTTACTCACTCCCTTAAATGCTGGTGTTGCAAGAGTGAACGCTAATGTAAAATACGGACTTTGGCTCGCAATGCAGTGTCAACGGAGGTTCATCCATTGTGACAAATGTACCACTCTGGTGGGAGATGTTGACAATGGAAGAAGTAACGCATGTGGCTGTTGTGGCGCGGGCGGGGCGCGGGGCGCGCCGGAATATGACGACTCTCTCTGTACCTTCCACTCAATTTTGCCGTAAATCTAAAACTGCTCTAAAACAAATAAACTTATTTTAAGAAAGAAAAATCCTGACATTGCCCAAACATCCACTTGTGGCTCTCTCCTCTCCCGCCCTTCCACTCCCTCTGGGTGATCCATTCCCGTGCCTTGGAGAACTGTCCCTCCAACCTGCAGCCAAAGCGATTTTTCAGAATTAAAATCTGGCCACATGACTTCTGATTGAAACCTCTCAAGGACCGCTGTCGCCTGGGTCAAGTTCTTCAGCCAGGCATCAGGACCCCATACCGTTCCCTCCCTATGCCCCAAGGTCTCCAGCCTCACCTCTGCCACTACCAGCTTCGCACTTGACCTAGACCGCCCTCGCTTCCAAATCTGCTTCAGCCTGTGTCCCCGTCCAACTATGAAGTTCTCCAGGGAGAATGCCCTTGGTGCAGGAATGTGTCGTCACCCCCTCCACACCCTATACACACAGTGTTTAGTATCAACCAGGTGCACACCGTCCCCACTCCCACACTGTAACCAGCTCTCCCAGGACCCGGCGTGGCGGAGCCGGAGGGACGCACCACCCCACGCGCGGTCGGACTACAAGTCCCAGCATGCCTCGGGGTGAAGGTCGCAGCAGGACGGCGACCCGCCCCTGGAGCCCAGCATCAAGGTGAGTACGTCCCAGAGGCTAGCGCTTTCCGTTAGAAGCAGGCGAAACCCCCACCCACCCCCGGCCGACACTCACTGACGGACTCCGTTTCCAGACGTCCGCGAGCGGAGCCCTCTGAAGAGGCTGCCTCCTCCGCGAAGGAGAGGCGCCAGCAGCGTCACAGCCGACATGCCTGCCCAACCTCGGACAGCCACCCGAAGGCCGCCCCCCTGCGTATGCGTCACTTCCCCCCGGCGCCCCGCCCCTAACGTCACCGCGTCGCCCCCTCGCCCCCGTGGGCCTGGGGGTGACGTCTGACGGAGAGGGAAGTAGCGGTTCCCAACTCAAATTAGCATCTCAGTCCCTTCGCTGCGGAGGGCTGCACGTCGTGGCTTAGATGGTGAGGAGGCACCCTCCCAAACGCGAATGGTGTAGTCGGCCCTAGGCGTTGCTAAGGGACGGCTCTGACTTGCTTGGCTGCGCGGAGCCGCGCGCTTCCCTGGGGATGGGCGTGCGGACCATCGCGGAGGGAGGTAGGGCCACTCCAGGAGCCGGGACGAGGCGCCCGGCTCTAAGAGCGCATCTTTGTTAGGCGGGTGCCGAGACACCCCAACACGGAGTCTGAGCTCTCTCCTCCCGAATTAGCTGCCTTCCAGACCGTCTTAAGTTGCCAAATCCTTTGTGAACCAGTGATCCTTCCCAAAGCTAGTTTTTGAATTCCCTCTCCTGCAAGAGGCTCACAGCGAAATCTTTTAAGTCTTCCTTGTTTTACTGTTTTTCTGCAAACTGAAACTACCAACCGGCAGACAGTGGTTCCCAAATGTCAGTACAAGGACAGACTGGGTATCAAAGTCACCTGAGGAGCCCGACCCCACATACTCTGATCAAAGCCTGGAGTAGGGCCAAGGAGTCTGCATTTTAGCACAGCCTCCAGTCTAGGCAGTACTCCTACCTAATTCCTTGATCCTGAGCCAGCCCTGGATTCTTGGCTTTTGTCTCTTAATATTGCCTTCTATTAAATCCTGGATGGACTCCAAGCTTCCCCAAATGCCCCTCCCCAAATTCTTCTGGCCTCCACACAGAGGCTGCAGTGTTCCTAAGCGGCTCCAGGTTTAACAGCCTAACAGCCTTCTAGCCTAACTTGGCGATTTCAGTTTGAAATGGCACCCTCGCTAAGCACCGATGACCTCACACTAAGTCACGAGCATGAAAAATAGAATACTTATGGAGAGACATGTAGACCCGAATTTAGGGATTTGAGTGTATTTGAATATAACTGACACCTGTCCTTTGCCAAGATGTGGGCCTCCGTGTACCTGCTAACTGGAAGCCTCTCTCCTAGAATTAATTAGGCCCACATAAAGCTTATGATGGCGGAGCTGCCCCATTCCCTTCAGAACAGTCTCTGGCCCTGTTCTCCTGTTAATTTGTCCTCTGGCCCTATCTTCCTTCCCTCCTAAGTATGTATATAAATTAGAAAAAAGAATCCACTGTTTTCCAGATGTACGTTGACTTTCCAGTTGATAAGTGACAGTGTGGCTTTGGGCTGCTATTCACCACTTACCCTTTCTAGTGATAGATACAAATCACTAGGATAGTGGTTTATGAAAAAGGAGGACAAGGCTTGCCATCTTCCTAGGGAACCGGATGCCCAAGCCACACATACAGCTGCCTTGCTCCCAGCAAAGAACAGTGCTGTGACTCCAAGGCCACAGAAACAGCGCAGCTCAAACAGGCGAGCGCATGGAACTTGGAGTAAAGATCTGAGGCTCAGACCCCAGCTCTGCCCGTGATTAGCTCTATGGATTTGAACAAGTCACTTTGTGTCTTTGAGTGTCAGTGCCCCTCATCTTAGTTTGAGTCATTTTAAGATAGTACCTGGCACACAGCATGTACTCAGGAAATTGTTATTCCTTTATGTTACCTGCCTATCCTAGCAGCGAAAGCTATTCAGGCGAGTGAAATCTTTCTTGCTGAATTACAAAACAAAAAGTTTTAACTTCATCACTTGCTTGTAGTTAATGCAATATTGATCTGTAGACCATTTGGGGGGGGTCCTTGGCTTTAATGTTTGACATCACAGATTCTGACGTTTTACTATAAAAAACGTATGGTTCCACTCAATAGACTTTTGTCTGTAGCAGTGATACATTTGTCTTGCAGACACACTCTTAACAGCATATATCCCTTACTGCCTCCTGCAATTTGCATGATGGCCCTCTTTTGGGCTCTAAAATGAGAACCCCATTTGACTGGATGCATTTTTTTTTTAAGATTTTATATATTTACTTTCAGAAAAAGGCAAAGGGAGGGAGAAAGAGAGGGAGAGAAACATCCATCGGTTGCCTCTCATACATGCCCTCACGAGGGACAGAACCTGCAACCTAGGTATGTGCCCTGACCAGGAATTGAACTGGCAACCCTTCACTTTACGGGATGACACCCAACCAACTGAGCCACACCAGGCAGGGCAAATGGACACATTTTAGAAGGTGAGAGATGCTGTGGCTGGTGTGACTCAGTGGGTCGAGCGCCAGCCTGCAAACCAAAAGGTCCCTGTTTGGATTCGCAGTCAGGGCATGTGCCTCGGTTGTGGACCCAGTCCCCAGTAGAGGCATGCAAGAGCCAAATGATCGATGTTTCTCTCCCTCCCTTCCCCTCTCTCTAAAAATAAATAAATAAAATATTTAATAAAAAGGTGAGGGAAAGGACTTCCTTTGCCAAGCCCTGAGCTCTCAGCTTCTAAATGCAAATCTAATTCTCAAAATCTGACATACTGTGCGGATGGACTCTAAATGACCTAACAGAGCATCTAACCCCAAACAAGAACTTATTCTATACCTGGAAATAGAAAACAAAGCAAGGGGATGAGAAAAATAAATTTATTCACAACACTTCATGTTTACTTAATTTCTTACTTTGTCCTAGTGAACCTTGGAAAGCGGAAAGGAACTCATCTTTCCCATGGTTTTAGGAACACTGAAATGAACCAGAGCTCCCTGCGTTAGAGGAGATTGCACGGTGACCTCTCTCAGGGGAAAAGAGCATGCTGCCCCTTTAGCCACTTACAGCCCAGGATGTAGCCTTTTCTCCTCAAGGTGATGACTTTATAAATCAAATTTAGCATTTTTAAGAGTCTTATTTTTTTAATCTTTATTTACTGATTTTAGAAAGAGAAGGAGAGAAACATTGACTTGTTCTGCTTGTTTATGCATTCATTGGTTGAATTTTTAAAAACATTTTTTTTATTTTCAGAGCAAGGAGGAGGGAAGCAGAAAGAGGGGGAGAGAAACATCAGTGTGTGGTTGCCTCTCGCGTGCCCCCCACTGGGGACCTGGCCCACAACCCAAGCATGTGCCCTGACTGGGAATAGAACCAGCAACCCTTTGGTTCACAGGCTTGCACTCAGTCCACTTAGCCACACCAGCCAGGGCACATTGGTTGATTCTTATATGTGCCCTGACCAGGGATCAAACCCACAACCTTGGCGTAGGGGGATGACACTAATCAACTGAGCTACCTGGCCAGGGCAGATTCTTATTTTAAAAATCAGCAAATTTCGTATGTTAAAGCATGTCCATTAACCATTTTTCTCCTTTTCAATATAGCCTGTGTTCCTTCCCTGTTGCTGCTCTAATAGCTCCTGAGAAACTAAGGCCCTTAGTCCAACAGTCCCACATGGGAGTCACATTAGACCCGCCCTAGTGGAGCCTCAAAATGTCTGTGCAAGACCCTGAGCAGAGGACCCAGCTAAGCTGCACCCAGACTTCTGACCTGCAGACACACAAGGTTGATCAAAGCCAGTAAGTCTTGGGGCAGTGTGTACGCAGTGGTAGATAACTAATACACACCTCAAATGGCTTGATCAGATCCACCAGCTATAAGGAAAGGCTTGGTGGTGCCGGTATAGGCTCAGGGAGGCACCGCTCTGTGTGCTCCCTGCCTGGCCCCAAGGGGTAAGTCCCTGCGTAGCTGGTGCAGGGGCTCTGTGTCTGGCCGGTGTGCCCAGGAGGAGCGAGCAGAACAACGCCAATTCTTTCTCCCAGCTCCCTGGAGCCCCACCCTCCACCACCCCCCATCCCCAGACCTCCCTGCTGATTACAATGCCCTCCCCTCAAGACTTGGGAAGTAAAAGATCTCACTCCTCTGGGAAAAGCCTCACCCAAGGAATCTCTGCCCAACTGAATATTACTTGTTCCCTAAAGGACGGAAATGAGGAACTTGGTCCTAGAGGAGCAAAGAGTGGAAGAATCTAGTCCTGTGGCCAGAGCAGGACTTTCAGAGAACAGGAAGGCTTGGCTTTCCACTCACTGTCTAAAGCAGTGGTCTGCAAAACGAGCAAGAGAATCCACCGGGATGAGGGAAAAAATACTGTTTATATATAGAAAAATAAGAAATTAAGCTTTACTAATAGTGACTTTACAAGCTGACCCTGGGATGCTCTTAGTCCACGTGGGCCAGCCACACATGAGGTCAGCTTTGGGGGGACGGTCTGTGGGTGGGCCCAGCACAGAGGGGCAGGCAGTAGCCACCACCTCTTAATTCACTGCTTGGTGTCACTGAGTGCTACTGCGGATTTCAAGCCCTGGTTAAGAGGCTGTACTGATCATATTATCTATATATTACTATTAACCAAAATTAACCCTGGACAAAGAGACAAGGGCCTAAATATTACTCAGAGAAACCACAGTCTGAGTACTGCCATGCAAGCAGAGAACTTTAGGAAGAGGGCAGAGCTGTCCTGGCCAGGTAGGTCAGTTGGTTAAAGCGTTGTCCAGATACGCCTAGGTTGTGGGTTCAACCCCCAGCCAGGGCACACACAAGAGGGAACAAATGAATGCATAAATGGTGGAACAACAAATTGGTGTTTTTTCCTCTCTCTCCCCGTTTTCCTCTCTCTAAAGTCAGTTTAAAAAAGAAAAATTTTTTAAAAGGAAGGCAGAGCTGATTCTGCTCCTCTCCCTAATATATTGTCCACAGTAACTGTTGCTTTTCTTTTTCACGTTGTGATAAAATTTAGTAAAGAGCAAGCAAAAAATATTTAAAGGTTTAAAGAAGATAATTTGAAGTACAGTGAAATTTGTCCTATGTGTATATTGTGCCTCCAGATATTTTCTAGTGGTAGTATCACCTGTATAAAGTTTATAAATAAATCATATGTATGTGTACAAAAATATATTCACCTTTTTACCAATAAGGGTACATTTAAAAATTGGAAGTCATGGGTCCACAGGATTCTGTGACATTTTTCTAACCTAATTTTCAGAGTCCAGGGGGACCCACCTGATGAGGGAGTACAGAGGGTGAGGAAGAGAAGAGAAAGAAAGAAGAAAACAAAGTAACTAAGTTTATTCACCCTCCTGAACAGAACCTTCTCCCTGAAACAGGGTCTTCCACCAGGCCCAGCTCCTGCAGCTGAATGGATAGGACCCTTCCCTCCCTTTACTTCCCCACATAACCCAGAGCTGCTGAAGCCAAATCAGAGTGAAAAGCCAGTCTGCCCTCCACACGTCCCACACTTCGTAAGCGTTCAAGCTGCCCCAGGAGAGGCTGTTGGGAGCGGCCTTCCACTCTGCGGCGGAGGCCTGGTGCCCGCCAGTCAGGGGGAAGACGCTCGTCCTTTCAGCAGGAAGGGCTTTGCTGCCTCCAGGATGTCCAGTTTGGGGTCCAGCGAGCGGCCAAGCCCCTCTAGCACCATGATGGCAAACACAATGGAGGCGAAGTTGCTCTCAAGCTTTACCTGAAACAGAAAATAAGCGGTTCTTCCCAAAGCCCATCGATATAGAGAGTGAGTTCTGGATAAGCATGTGGCTGTCCACTCTCAGCCTCCTGTACCCGCCCGCGTGACTTTTCCTGTCCACTTAACATTCTTTTCCCTACCCCATCATTTTCCACACCATCTCATCTGCGCACCCAACCTCCCATCTACTGATGTTGCTAAGGGAAAATCTGGGGAATGTGGTAGGTGCTTCTTTGCGTGGCAGGGGTGGGGGGTGGTATGTGTTCATACACAGCATATATATGTATGACTTAAAAATAATAAAATTAGTATCTCAGAGATATATCAGAAATTATAAATCTAAATAAGGGTCATTCTTCTGGCCAGCCAACTTTCTGACTCTTAATCCTGTGTTTTGATCCTGGGCAAATGGCTGCCTTTTCCATGCGGGATTTCATTATTGGATTCAGAACCTTAAGAGAAACAATGGGAAAGGCCATCTTCAGACAAGAACCTTCCCTTTCCCTCCCTCAACTCCTTATACCCTTGGCCGGCAGCTTTACTTTAAGAACAGCCCAAGGCCATATTCCATCACAAAGAAACAAACAAGGGCCAAGGGGAAGAACCAAGGGACGGGGACAGGAGGCAGAGGCCAGGACAGCCATGCCAGGGCCTCTGAACACAACAGGACAAGAGGCACCTCCCCTTGGGCCACCACCAACCCCAGGTCTTTGCACCACACAGGAAAGAACTGTCTAAGGATGGCTGAGCTTAATATCAAGCATCGCTAATGTGAACGGAGGCGGGAAAAGGCATGAAAGCTTTAGTTAGGCTGTTTTCACATGTGTAAAGCCATTTTTCCACTGCTCAGTATCATAGATACTTAGATGGCATAGTCTGACAGAGACGCAGACCAACAGTGTGGCCACAGTGTGCTATACCCTGGGAGTACCCAGAAACAGCACTCTTCACACTAATGGACTGGTATGGAGAGTGTTCTCAAAACCGCGATCTCACGTAGAGAAGTACTCCTCACCACCCCATGGCCACCCACCCAGCTCCCCAGAGACCTCCCTCCTGCCCAGCTGGAGCTTAGGGGCTCAGCTCGGCCTGGGGCCGCACCTTGTGAGTCATCAGCAACTTAAAGACACTGGAGAGAAGGCTGGAGACTTGAAGCTGGAAAAAAGAATAAAATAAAGCGGACTGTAGACTGAGGGCACAGAGCCCCCAGCACTGCCCCTCTCCCTTCCAGGCCCTATCTGGCCCCCACCCCCCAAACTTCGCCCCTCCCCCCGCCCCTCCCCCTGCCCCAGTGAGTGGAAAGGGACTGTCTGACAAACCCCAGAAGGACTGCACATGCATGAACCCAACTCCCATCCTGAGGATGAGGAGCCTGAGTTCAAAGACTCCTTCCCGGAAGCGGCCTGGAAGCCCGGCCACCCTTGTGTCTACCCGCGGCACCTAGGAAATAAGGGGCATCGGCGGTGCAGGGGTGCCAGATGCGGCTCCTCCCCGCCGGTGGCCACTGCTTGCTCTGACTTGATCCTGCTAGTATGGACCATGAACTTGGGGAGAAAACAGACAGGTTTCCCAGAACTGAGTGTAAAATACAAATTGGGCTCTGGCTCAGACCTAAATAAAGGAGGTGAGCAGGAGGTATGTCCTTGGGCCACTCAGAGACAAGCTTGGCTGAGCTGCAAAACAGAAGAAGCCGCAGAACAGCCACACCCCAGACAGGGAGGGGTGAGGCACTTATAAATAGCACCCAAGCAGCCACCCTGGAGAACCTGGCCAAGGACCACTCACTGAGAGCCAAAGATTTCAGTGGACCTCCACCCACCTGGGAGGTGTGGGCAGAGGAGAGGTTTGTTCTTTATCTGCCTTAAAACTCAAACCCTCTCTACACTTCCCCGCATTAAAAGGTCTTCCTGCAACCTGGGGTTTGTTCTGTCCGAGGGCAATAGCAGGTCCCTGCCCATTGAGTGGTCTGCTCACCCTTTCCAGGGTGATAGAGTCCTTCCTGGCCTGGGTCACCAGTGTGGCCATCTCAGCCTTGAATCGCTCCACATCCCTGCACTCATTGGCCCGAGCGTGGTGCAGGATGAGCTCAGCCACTCTTTGACCCTGGAAGATGCAAAAGAAGAGAAACTTGGTAGGGTCAGGAGGGCACAAAACTAGGCGCTCTGCCCAGTCTTCATCATCTCCTAGTTGTTCCCACCTAACTCTTCTACTGTCCTGACTTTGGCCACTGCTGACCAACCAGCCTGGCCTCAGAGCCACCAGGACCTGCCACCAGGCTGGACCAGCCACACTGCCCTCCTGGGCTCCCTTCCCGTCCCAGCAGAATTCCCTCCACAGCTGGCCAACCTCTGTGCGCAGCCTCCTCGCTTTCTTCCACCCAGGACACCCTCTGACCAAAGCCTCCATGGTCTCCCAAACACCCGTCTGCCCTGGTTACTGCTAATGCCCTTTGCTTCCCACAGCACCGCCCCAGGAGCTGAGCTGTCCCTCCTCGGGCTGTGACCTTCTTCTCCCACCCAAACCTGTCCAGGGGAACACGTCCCACCCTACCTGCCACTGCAGTGCAGGGGACACTTTAAACCAGCTCAGACCCAAGCCTCCGTCCGCCCCCTCAGGAGCCCCCTAAGCAGGAGCTAGCCTTCCCAGTGCCCGCCTGTATGCCTGCTGAAGGAGGGAGAGAAACTACCACTCAGACTAAATGGTGGCATTTGGGAAGGAGGCATTTCTTCCCATCTCAAACCATGAGCTGCTTGGAACTGGCCTCAGTCACAGGCGCCAGCGCACTCTGACTAAAGACCCGTGACGTTTCTGCCAGGAGCACCCTTGGCAAATGGGCATTTACCAGAACGACAAAGGCTGAGGGGCCCTGAAGTTCTCAAGAGCCTAAATGACTTGGGCCCAACTCCCAGGGGCCCAGTGGGTCTCACCTGCCCCATCACCACAGCCATGAAAACTGCCCGGAAGTTCCTGAGATCCGCAGCCTGCAGCTCGGCCACGATGCCAGCGTCCAGGAGCACCAGGCGTAGCGGGCACCGTGCAGGCATCACGGACACCACCAGCGTGTCGCAGACATCCATCTGCTGCAGCTGTGCCTCTGGGCTCTGGGAAAGACCGTCAGCACCCTGGACCAGGATGTTCCCAGGGTGAAGGTCTGCATGGACGAAGTTGTCCACGAATATCTGGAAAGAGAGCAGCACCCCTCCAGGCTGAGCCAGTCCTCACCACCCTGTCACCACCGGGCCACACACGGGACAGGCTCCAGGGGGACAGCACGTTCCCCGCAATGAGCAGCAGAAAACTGCGCCTGTGACAAAGCCCCATTGTTCGATGTCATCGGTTCAGAATTGGTACAGGGATGGGCCAGATGGGTTTTCAAGAGAAAAGTTATTTTCAGAATCAAGAGCATTAGAAAAGATTATAGGAAACGTTAAAAAATCAAAGACCATACTGCATTTCAAAAGACTTATTTTTACTCTGGGACTGGAGCAGTTAATATTCAAATTAAAATAATATCTACTCATTGTTTAAATATTTCCCCCGCCCAACCTCCCTGCTCTTAAGCTTCATGGAACTTCCTTTCAAATATTTCCTAAATCAGACTTCCCCTCCGTTACCGCGATGCCTGCACACAGTGACGTCCAACAGAGCAATTGACAGCCACCTCCTGGCACCCAGAACTGGGTAGGCAGGGAGAAATGGCTTTGACCCTGCAAAGCAGGAAAGCAAGCCCCAGGGACTGTGACAGACAGGGAGTCAGGCGTGAGTGTGTGGGACAGAACCTGCCTCCCGTGAAAGGTCATCTGGGTGGTCGGAGGAGCCACCAGCAATCTTTCTGTGAGGGGAAGAGGGGAGGCCCGGTGCAGAGGTGCAGAGCAGCTGCCTCTGGGGAGGCTCCCCCCGGACGCAGGCCAGAGCCCCTCCCCGTCCTGACCGTGGCTTTGTTGGACGTAGAGGCTGCTACCCCGGTGAAAATCCTGGGAACTGGGGAGGCCAGGCCTTGTACCCGACCCTGATCCCAAACCTCCTGGCACCCTCCTGTCAGCTCATCCCCTCGGGGCTCATGTCTCCATCCTTGATCCCGGAGCTAGAAGCCCCCTATGGTCTCCCCCCACCCCGGGTGCTGCTACCGGGGAGCTCCCCTGGCCTCCCTGCTGCGCCCTCCCCGCGCCCACAGTGTCCGGTGGAGCCCTGTCACTGGGGACAAAGTCCTCCGCCCACGGAGCTGCCACTTGCACGGACAGTGGAAACCTGGCTCTCCAGGAGAACCTCACCTCCCCAGGAGCCCGCGGGGCTGGGGGTGGAGTCAGGGCTGCGCTGAGCCCGTCTCTTGCAGGAGTGCGTACAGCCTCCACTCTGTCAGCTCGCACCACACCGCCTCCTGCTCACCTCGGCCCCCACGGCTCCATCGCAGTCACACCTGTTCTTTCCTCTTGCTCTCAGACCACACGCCTGGTGCCTCCTTGCCCCGGTTCCGCACCCTCCAGACCCGGGCACTCATCCTGCTTATCCAGCCTAGAGCCTGCCATCCAGCCCTCAACCACTCTCTTCTGTGCCAGCCACCAGGAAGACCTCAGACCCCAGCCGATGCTTTGCCCCTGCATGTGAGCTGCTAACAGTGCTGGGTTGCTACCGTTACTACTAATGACACCAATAACTGACACTGTTTAGGGATCGCTATGTCCTTTTCTGAGTGTCAGTTCATTTAATCATTGCCAGGCCATCCTCTCATGGGTGACACCCGAACTTCCTTCACATTCCAGCTGAGATGGAGCCACTTCCTGAATACATCTCTGGTTTGGGACAGGCGCCGCTTAAATGACCCTTTGGTACCTGTACTTACCCTACACATGATTGCCTTACTCACGACTGGCCTCCCCACTAAATGGTAGTTCTGTACGCATTGTAATCGTGTCTATTTTGCTTGCTCCTGTAAAGTCAGCACTTCCCGGCACACAGCAAATGCTCAAGAAACACTTGCTGAACAAATGAGCAAAGTAGCACGTAACATAAGATATTTTCTCAGGCTGTTTGTAGGCAACTTGGGAGGGCCCTTCCTACAGCACCTTGCGAGGTGACAGAGCCAAGCCACTGAGAAAGGGCTTAACAGAGAGCTGTAGAATGAACGGCGTCTCCGTAGGCCCAGCTATTTCTAGAGTAGATGCTACACTTGGCTTGCCTGCCACCCAGGGAGGCTGAGCCGTGTCCCCACCGTTTCCTCACATGCAGCTCAGCCACATGCTGGGCCTGAGTGCCCTCGCCCAGCCCGTGAGCTCACCATCTTCAGAAGCATGTTGATCCCCAGCCGAGCAATCTTCCTCTTCAAGTCGACGGGAATCCCTGCCTGCTGGTAGCTGGACACTGGCACGCTCTCCTGCAGGAAGATCGGGAGGGAACAGCTTTACCCTGCACAGCCCTGCTCCTCATCCCCACAGGACACGTGGGCGCTCCCTCCCCAGGGACCCAAAGGGCTTTTCCTTCCTTAGAACCCCTATGAATCTGTCACCTACAGGTTGATTTTAACCTATTTACATTTCCCTTCCACGACACTTCCCAGAGAGCTAGTTTCTGGTCAAAATCAGCCAGTAGAGACATGAAAGAGTTCTGTGGCCTTGAGCAAGAAAAAGGGGGGAAAATGGTGGGGAGAGGAGAAAGGGGTGCTAATACATAAGCATTTCATATAGGTTAATTATCTAATTGTCAGAGCAGCCCACTGCGATCTCGTTATCCCTAATTAACAAAAAAAAAGAACTAATGCCCACAGAGTTTAAGTAACTTGCGCAAGTTCACACCGCTAGTAACTTTGGGAGGTGGCATCGCCTCCCCGGATCTTATAGTACCATCTTCGCAAATGAGGCTGGACCAGGTGACAGCTAAGGCCAGGGACCTGATACAAACTGCTGTTGAGCACTTTCCCTGTGCAAACTCCAGCTGAGGGCGTTTTGCATGAGGAAACGAAAGTCTCCCAGCAAATAAAGTGACAGAGCGGATTTTCAAGTCCGCAAAGCCTGAGGCTGCATCCAGGCTCTCGGGCACCTCGGTGCGACTGCCCTCCCTCGCAGCACGTCCCAACTGCCCCCACACATCATCGCGCACTCTCTGGGCTCTTGTCTTTTCAGACTAAGGCCTTCCCGTGAGGCAGAGACAGCCCCGCTGTGAATGAGAGGCACGGCCGGGTAAGTTCCGACTCTTACTTCATACGTTTCCACCAAAACCTCCCTGGTGACAAAGGGATGCAGAGGGGTGGGGAATCTGACAGACTTCACGTTCAGGAAGTTGCACTGGAAGTGCTCCAGGTTCCGAGCTTCATAGCGCAGGTCGATCTGCAGGAAAATGGAGAGGAGAGGTGAGGGGGTGGTCGGGGCACAGGGACTGCCACATCTGAACTGCCAAAGACCTAGCAAGTCCCCTGCCTTCTCCTGCTCCTGTCGCACAGCTCCCCAGGACCCGGGAGGAGCTGTTCTGTGACTCAAGGCCTCCCAAAAAGTCCTGGGCTTCCCTGCTGCTCCGCTCTCCCTTTTCTGCTACCCTCCTCACAGCAGCCAATGGACACCCCCCTTCTCCCAGGGGTTCAGTTTTGTGGCTTCTCCAGGCACTGCCCTCACGAGCCCCGCCTCCGGCCCTTTCCCTCCAGCGAGGCTCACTCCCACCCACTCTGCCTCCCCTGCCCTGATGCTGCTCCCCGCAACTCACCAAGCCTCTTGTCTGCCAGGCTCAAGGGTCCAGTCCCATTTTTATCCTAATTAGCTCCACGACCTCATTCTTCCTGAACCGCCCTTCTCCTTACCCTCTGGGCTTCTACCCCTGCCTTCCAGCCGCCCTGTCTGGGTCTGGTCTCCTGGCCACTCCCCCTCTGGCGCCCCACGAACGCTGATGCCTCTCAGCTCCTGACTTTCCCTGGCTTTTGCTCTCCCTCTCCAGCCCCGCATGCCCTCAGCTGACACCTCCTGATGACAGAGCCCGGACCTCCAGTCCAGTCCTCTGCCAGTCTCCGCGCTTATATTCCTGGGCATCTACACATCGCCCTGTGGAAGTCCAGAGACCCTTGAACTCAGTGTCTCAACAGAGTTTACTTTTACACACACCCTCATGCACCCAGTCACCAAAGAACCACTGCAGATGACTCCTCTTCTCACCCTCCACACCCATCCGTGCTCAGTGCCATCAATTCTGCAGCCCTAGCCTAACCACTCTCAGAGCTAGTCCCCCTTTCCACCCCACTGCCACTCCCAGGGGGCTCCCAAGAAGTCCCCTGAACCCTAACAGGTGCATCTGAGTTGGGCTCGCTCACCGCCCCCCACCTTCCCCCTCTGGGAGATGCCCCTCTCCATCTGCTGCTGCCCCCTACTGGCTTCAGGATGAAGTCTAAATTCTTGAGAAGGACATCGAGGGGAAGCTCATGGTTGGGCTCCCACTTTTCGCTTCAGGCCTGTCTTCTGTGCCTCTCCCTTCCTCTAGCCCCCAAAACTCTAGCTTCAGCCAGTCTGTATGGTGCTGAACACCCCAGCCTACCCGACCTAACCCCCTCCTTTGCCTTCCTTGTTCCCTCTGAATGTTTTCCCCCATATGGTCCAGCTGCAAATACCCAACTTGAGCCAAGAGTTTTGACCCTCAGGAAAGAATGACCACTTGCTCTCCTGAGCCCCAACTGAACCTGTAGAGACACCTACTATAACTCCGGTCAAACTCTATTTGCAAGTATTTATAGGTCAACCCCCTCTGCCTACAATATATTCCTATGGACGGAAAAAGCTCACTCGTTCTTAGTGCATCAGCTTCTAACAGACTCCCGCACAGACACCGGAATCTAAGCTTTCAAGCTTGGGAATGTGGATACAGCTGGTAGGCAAAATGAGGTGAGATATGGAACTTTGAGTTCAATCTGATGGAACCCCAGGGTGCCTATCAAGACTTCTAGAAGGGGAACTGAAGCTCAGATGGGCAGTAGAACTGAGAATAATTAATGCAGAGATGGTTATTGAAATAGAAGCTACTTTCTCTGTTTTAATTTTGTTTTGTTACCAAAGTTACACTGCTTTATAGCATAAAACAAGGATTTCTAAACATTAAAACACATCCCTTAGACTTAAAACGTTCTATCTAAGGTCCAAAATGAGGACTTGGCACACTGCTTCTGAGAGTCTGCCGATTTCTGCACTACCAGCAGGGAGCCAGGGCAGGGGCGTGCTCGGAGCCGAAATGGCCCCCAACGTGTGTTCACCAAGTCTGGCTACTTAAACAGGCGTCCCAAGGTCCTGGACAGGGAGGAGGTCCTTGTCTACTCAAAAGCCCTGGAAGCCAAGCAAAACAAAGGCACAGTGTGGGACTTTGCTGATCATTCTTATCACCCCGGAGTTCAGCCTTTGATTGGGCTCTTAGAGGTAAGGCTGTGTGTTCCACCAGAATGATTTCACTTTTCTCCCAGGCACCCTTGCAGGACTGCTGTGACTAAAGCTGACCTGTAGACTAGGACGAAGTGATATTCATCTCTTCCGTGCCTGGCCACAGAATCTCTCCCACGGTCCTCCGTGGTTTTCCTCCCAAATCCACACTGACCCTCATGGCGCATGTTGAAGATGGCAGTGCCAAACTTGGGAGGACACTGGGCCCCCGAGTAGCTGTGGAGTAGAGCTTCCTCTCTCTCCTTCAGTTCACCTGCATGGAACTTTGACATAAGCGATAACTTTGTTGCATTAAGCCACTGAGATGTGGGTGTTCTTTGTTATATCAACTAGTGTTATCTACGCTGACTAACCTACCATACTAGCCATGACTTACCGGGAAGTACTCATTCATTCAGCATTTATTAAAAAGCTGCTAACAGCAAGAACTCTGTTAGATGCTATTTATAACTAAGGGAAAGAGAATTCACCTGTTGAACCATGAGCTTCTCAAATTCCTCCACTATCTCAGGCAAGCTAAGCCACTTGATTCCTGGCAAAAGTGTAAGGACTCGGCTGCCCATCTTCATCAGCAGCAGGTCCATCCGCACCTGAGAGAGAAGGCCAGGGTGCAACACCTGCCAGAAAGAGGAACAGTGAGACAGAGGTGGGAGCAGGAAGGCACATTCATCTACTCAGCCAGGACTGGGTCCCCCCACCACGGAGGAGTCAGCTGGCTCCTCATCAGAGCAAAGGGGAAGTGGTCCCAGCGCCCAGGGTGCCCTTGCCGCCCTCACGCCCACGTGCTTTCCCTGAGGAAGTGCTGTCAGCATCTCCTCTGTGCTGCACTTAGCTTTCCTGGGAAGAATAGGTGGGCTTTTGTTCCCAAATACATTAAGTTTAGATCAGTGGCTCCCAAAGAGCACCTAGAGGTCACCATGGGGTGCTTGGTGAAAACGTGAGGGGGGGCGGGTTTCCCAGGCGGTAAGAGAGCATCAGGAGGACCTGCCCCTTGTGTCTGCTGGGCCCCCTGGGTTGTGCTGAATGGGGATGGGAAAGCGTGGGAACGAGAAATGAGGGAGCCCGGCAGCGGTGACTGGACCTGACGTGAGCAGAAAGCCCCTTCTGTAAAAACAGACGCTGCCATCTTGGGCTCACCACAGCGCGTGTAACCTAGTCTGTCTCCGATTCATCCTGACCCCAGAGTCGTAGTCAGCTGGCCAGCGCTTCCTCCACCCGCGGAGGCAGCCAACTCCAAACCCTCTTCCTTTCCCTTTATCAGACTATTGGCACCACCGCTCCCTCAAGCCAAGAAATGAAACAGCTTGCCCATCACAGGCACTCCGATCGTGGTCAGGCTAATACAAGGCAATGGAAGGCAACGTGGGGTGATTGGCAAGGGGGGAGCTCCTGATCTGGGATAGCTCTGTGGGGCCAGTGAGATTTTAGAGATGGGAAGGGCCCGCTGAATACATCAAAGCACTTACTTTCACTGCCACAGGGATGAGGTGATGTGGTTCAGGTGGGTGGGCAGGTGCCAACGCCTGAGACATGACTGCGTCTGATCCACCCAGCTCAGCTTTAGGGAGAAGCAGCCTTTCTAGAAATGACTGGTCAGCGAGACTTCCTTGAGGCCACCACCCCTTCTCCCGGTGTCCAAAGAGCTCTCTCAGCCCCGCAGCTGCCCCAGTTTCTGCGGAAGGCTGCAGCCTGGAGGCCGTGGCCGGTCTCCGGGTGCTGCCGTTCTCCAGGAAGACAGGGTTGGCACGCGCTTTGTACACTTGGGCCACACAGCCCGAACCCACAGGTTCCTGCTTCTCAAAGCAGAGGACCCTCCCCCAGTCCTCCCCAAATGCCTGCTGCAGGATGTGCTCAGTGTGAGCCCAAGCGTGCGGGGTCACCCGGACGTGCAGCTTGGAGAACTGGGCACAGAAGGCCTCTGAGAAGAGATCTCGCCGGGTGCTGGCCCACTGGCCCAGTTTGATGTATGTTGGGCCTGAGGTCTCGGTGGCTTTCAGAAGCAGGTGCAGCCAGAGGCTGGAGATGCTGGGAGCCAGGTAGGTGAGAGGGTAGAGTAGAAGGAGGGGGAAGAACTTCACCAAGAGAACCCCAGCGCGGAGTCCGAGCCGGAGGTGCAGGAGGACGCAGCCCAGCCACCCGTCTGGAGAGGCTTTCTCGAGGGGCCCATTTCCCGCCAGGTCACTCCAGCTGGCTCTTTGTGGACGCAAGTTCTCAGGGGGCCCCTCACCAATGTCCCCATGGACTGAGACGAGTTTGGGCAAAGTGCCAAGCAGAAGCCAACAGAGTCTGGAATTCCGAGGGCATCCAGAGGGTCTTAAAAGACTGAGTTCCTTTCTGAGCTCAAAACCCCTTAGGCAGGACAAGCAGACCCTGACAGAGAAGCGCCAGGGGGTCACCATCCTCTCCCGGAGTTCCACAGCCGAGGCTGCCTGCCCTCCGCTCAAAGGGCACCTACCTATGTCCACGCTTTCCGCAAGGCTGGCATGAGCCCAGGGCCTCAGCTGAGTGTTCCGCTCAAAAGTGGGGCCGCTGCCCGACCGCGGCAACTCATGTGCAGTCTAAGTCCAGACCGGCTCCCAGTCCAGCCCCTGCCCGGCCGCACTGCCCCTTAGGCCGCACAACCCTGCCCCGCCTCGCCGCAGGAGGGGTCGGCCCATCCGTCCCTCCGGACTCCAACGCTCCCCTCCCTCCCTCCGGGTACGGCCTTGGCCCAAAGCCTGAGGCTGCCGGGGGCCTTCGCCAGGGACTGGCTGCGCCTACGGGGGCTTTTCAGAACTGAATCCACTGTGAAAACCGGAGGGGCCGAACCAGATGCGAAGCCAGGCCCAGGGCGAGGACGCGACCTGCGCGAGGTGGCCGCGCGGGCGGAAACAGAGCCGGGCGGCCGCAGGGTCACCGCGCGTGCCAGGGCCGGCACGCGATCGCGGGTGTGGCGGGGCGCTGCCGAGGGCCGGAGCGCGGAGGGGTGGACGTGGTGAGTCGGGTCGGGCTGAAGGTGCTGCGGAAGGTCTAGGCACAGAGGCTCGTGGGGGGCCGGGGCGGCAAGGGCGAGAGAGGGAGAGCGTAGGGTCGGGGTGCGAGGGCTGGGAGTTGGGTGCAGACAGCCTGAGATCGGGCACCAAGGGCAAGGGGGTGCAGGAGGCCGAGGACCCGGCGCCGAGGGCTGGGAGTGGATCCGGAGGGCCGGGGATCGGGCGCGGAGGCCGCGGGCCGCGTCTTCCGGGAGTGCCCCGCCCTCCGGAGGCTGGCACTGCCCCTTAAAGCGGACGCGACACGGACGCCCGCGGTGGCGCACCTGAGCATAGGGTCCGGGTCCTAGGCATAGACTTCACGGAAAACGCAGACGCACGCTCCACGCTCGCCGCTTTCCCCGCGCGCGTCTGTCTTTCCACTGGCATCTTTGTAGCTTTCCTTACAAAGAGCGTGCAAACCCTGACGTAGGCCATGAATTGCAACACGGTTGTGAACAGCGGTAGGGTTTTCCGTTGAGTGGGAAGGGGGCGCGGGGGAGTCCCAGGCTGCTTCGATTTGGGGAACGCTCTTGGGGACCGGCTCCTGAAAGGCCATGTTCATTCATTCAGCTGCTACTGATGGAGTCCCGTATTTCTTCATCCGAATGTAATATTATCAGGGCTCGGTAATGCACTAGGTATTGAGCTAGATACCCTGCCGGGTTGCGGAGTGGAGACACCCACCCTGCCCTTCCACGCTGACCACTTATGGCGGTGACCACACGGGAACACGATGTACAGTTTCAGTGTGTGGCAGGAGCCGTGAACGAAACGAAGAATGGGGAGAACCAACAGGATGTGGCTGTAGGAAGGGAGGCCTTTCGGTGGGAGGGTGTGCAGACAAAGAAAAAGACCCTGAAAAGGAAGGAGTCAGCAGTGAGAGTTTTTGTTTGGGGAGGGGGGGTGGTTTGTTTAACCTGGAAGAAACAAAGGAAGGTCAGGTGGTTCCAGAGGGCAAAAGGGAGAGAAAGGGAGTTTGGAAATAAGCCAGCGTAGCAGGGCAGCCACGAGGGGGTTCGGAGGCTGCTAGGGTGGGGGGGGGGGACCTCAGCCACCTCCACGCATGCAGCCTTCACCTGCACGTGGGGAGAGGCCTCCACCCAAACCTTCCCAGGGGTGATCCACGGACCCCCAAGTGGAAGGAGCCCTGGGGAGAGAAAAGCAGGGACGCAGCCCATGCCCACAGGGGGTTCCCTTTGCTGGAAGTGTGACTGCCACTCTGCGGCCCTCAGGGGTGCCCCAAAATGTGGGGACCTGGACTACTGACAGACAGCAGTGGAGAGTGGCTTTGGGCTTCTCCTGGGTTGGTAACTAATAATCCATTTCCCATTCCCACAAGGTGCCGCAGACCCCTTTGCTGTTCCCAAGACAGAAGTCATCCCCACCACCACGATTTCAAATGTGACCAGCCATTAATCATCCCCTTCCCAACCTCCTACTGATTTATTGCCCACCCTGTCCCAAAGGTGTGTGGAACATTCTTGTACGTGTCTCCGATTGACCAAGGGGCTCACTGAAGACCAGAGGCCCTGGGTGCTAGCCCGCTGAGTAGAAGGTGGCAATGTGGCCTCAGGCGAGTCTTCCTGGGCCTCTGTTCCTCCTCAGGCTAACTGGGGACGTGTGTCTGGCCAAAGCTGTGCGAGTCCTTTAGGTTTACATTTATGATTCTGGCAATTAAACTCTTTAACAGTAGTTAAGAGGAAAATTCTGCAGCTAAATAGGCCTGGTTTCAACTCTCCTCTGCACTACCTGTATAACCTTGGGGACAAGTTACCTCACCTCTGAGAGCCTCCGCTCCTCACTTGTCATGTGAAGTTAAGAACAGTACTTGCCTCTCAAAGCTCACAAAAGCAGAACGCCACAAACGGATGTGCTTAGCACAGTGCATCAATGAGTATTAGGAAACATTACTTGTGTTACCTACAAGTTTTGTTTCTCTTCCTACTTTGTATGACAGGCATATTTTCACAAATCGGGAGGATTCCTTGTGGAAGGTTGGACTTAAGGGCACCCTAGAAATTCACCTGAAGCAGTGGTTCCCAACTTTAGCATCCACCTGACATTTGGTTGGACCTGAGCTGTCCCGTAACCAGTGTCTGATCCTCTAAGTTTGGACTGGGGCCTGAGAATTTGCATTTGTAACAGTTTCCCACATGCTTCTGTGTTGCTCCTGGTCCTTAGAACAAAGTTTGAGAACCACTGACCTTGTGGCGGTGGAGGTGGCGGAGGTGGCGGAGGTGGTCGTGCAGGCGACCGTAGCGATGAAAACGGTGCTGGCGAAGGTGCAGCACCTCAAAGAGCTGTAGTTACCCAAGTTGGTGACATTGAGCGACTCCTGGGGCCCGTGGGGACGTCCATCAGATGAATGATGTCATACATATTGAGGCACCGTGGACAAACATATCAAAATGAACCCGAAAGCAAGATTTGTAAGGGCAGCCTTTAAAAGCCACAGATGTTGATGGGCAGTCAAGCTGCTTCCCACATGAGGGACTTTACGCAGTCTGTTTCAGGAGTGGTAACAGCAAAATGCATTGAGAATGATCAGTGAATTAAGAGGCTGAACATACAGACACCGGCCAGGCGGTGGATGACAACAGAACTCTGGCCACAGCCTCTGCCGCAGGGGGCCTGGAGCAGTCAGGGCTTGGCAGCGACGGCCCGCTTCTCCAATTTTCTCCCCCACCTCCAACTCAGGACCCAACCATTGAACGCCAAATATCCTCTGCAAACCGACCACACAATATGCCGGAGCCTCCAGCCTCCCTGTGCCACCAACCTGCAATTAGGGTGCACCTGAAGCCTTTTCCTTTTTTTCCCTCTATAAACCTTTCCCACCAGCATTTGGGTCTTCACTTGTACTCGAGCATCTGACGAAAACAAGTGATGGTGGCTGACGACCTTGCTATAGAAAGATATGAATAAATAACCTTTGGTTGTTCTCATTTCAGTAATCTTTTTTTTTTTTTTCTTCATATAACTTTCACACCAGCTAATTATTAATAGTTTCTCGTGTTTGGAATAGTTTCTGGTTCTTACAACTGTTCCTGATGGTGCTGTTAACTCTAGGACCACTAGGTGGCACCATGCACTTGCGAAGTGCAAGGAACGACTTCTCTTGGTTTTCCAGACCTGGCTGTGAAGAAATGGGTGGGCAGGGAAAGATGCAAATATCCACCTGGCTTTGCCTATCTTGTCAATGATAAAAATGAACGGGGGTTTTAGCATCTCCCATGTAACATTGCTACCTAGCAGATGCCATGCAGGGCAAGTACTAGTTCAAGACCTTGGGGAAGGATGTGGGTGTAGGGACCCGGCTGGCTCTGGGATTCTCTACCTCTGCATTTTTGACACTTGGGGAAGGATAAATCTTTATTGTGGATGAGTGGAAGTGGAAGCTGTCCTGTGCACTGTAGGATGTTTAGCAGCATCTCTGGCCTCTACCCACTGGATGCCAGGAACACCCCCGTTTCCCAATTGTGACTTTAAAATGTCTTCAAATGTTGTCAAATGTCTCCTGGGGAGCAAAGTTATCCTTCGGTGAGAATCACCGGGCTCCCTGTTGAGGACAAGTCTCTGCTGAGACTCTTTCAGCACCCCCACCCCCACACTCAGCTCCTTCATAACAGAAGATCAGCCCCCTGCATATGCCTGCCGCAGCCTCCTCTTTTCCATCCTTGAACAAGCTCTACACTCATGTGTCTCCGTGGGGACTTAAGCCACCTGCACCCAGAACACCTGAGGTGCTTGTGAAACTGCAGGCTCCTGGCCCCTCTGCCCACATTAGGGTCCCTATGGGGCAGATTAGATTCCCCATCCTCCAACAAGCCAAGGGGATTATCCGGCAAATAAAATGTTTGAGACTCATGGACCACACCCCACCCCCAGCTCCTGCATAGCACACCTGGCCTGCAATTAGCTTCTAAGAAAATTATACCTGAAATCCAATCTGTGAATAAACTCTCTTCCTTAGAAAGAAAAAAAGAAAGAAAGGAAAGAAAGAAAGAAAGAAAGAAAGAAAGAAAGAAAGAAAGAAAGAAAGAAAAAGAAAAGGAAGGAAGAAAGAAAGTTAGTTGTACCCTGGCCACAAGAACTCTGGCCCTGTGGTACCCACATACATAGAAAATACGAGAACCAATACTGGGAAAAGACACTAAGAGAGGGGGCTGTTGTAGGGCTTCTTGCTACCATCTCCCTTTCTCTTTTTGTCTCTTAGTTGAATTGTCTCCGTTACTTCTCATGAGAATTTTTCCTCCCCTGGTTCCCACCTTCTGGTTGTCTAGGTGGGTCGTTCCTGCACTACCCACCCAGGTGCAGGTGCTGCTCCTGTACTAATTAGTGAGTGTGGCCTAACAGTCCCCCTCCTGCCTGAGGGGTGTGGCCGGGCCCACAGGTGAAGTCCCATCAGGCTCTGCTGTGCTGTGGCCCACCATGCCGTGTGCAGCTGCGCCGCTCCTGGTCCTTTACTGTCTGTTCTAAAACCAGACAAAATGACCACAAAGACAGGTCCTCCAAAGCTGGCAGGGATGAAGGAGCCCTGGGGCCCCCAGTCTGGGCCCTGCTCCCCTTCCCCTGGGTGGCCTCAGCCTGTCCCTCCCCTTCATCCCACACCTTCTGGATGACAGTTGATTGGGACCAAGAGCAAACCAAGGCTGGGTTTGAGGTTCGTGTGGGATGCTTGGCATGGTTTTGTTTCCTCGGCGGGAGCCGGCCAGGGGTTGTGGCGGGTCGGGAGGAGACTCACACTCAGCCTCTGGAGCAGGAGAGAATGGACAAGGATGGGACGAGCGGTGGGATGAGAGGAGAGGGAGGAGAGGGATGCCCGTGAAGGACAGGGGAGCCCTGCTGCTTGTCAGGTGGCTCCGCAGGCTCAGCCCCAGTCAGTCAGAGGGACGAGGGGGTACCCGGCAAGGGCATGTCGGCGGTGACTTTTCCCTGCTAGAATAATTCCCTCTTGCTCTGCCTCATCCAAATGTCAAGGGGCTGAGCATAGATAAACAATTTCCTCTCCCCATGCAGCTTTCCAGATAAAGGAATCCTCGTCATAAAATAACCCAAGCTGTCATCCATCAGCTGCTGTATCTGAACAATGCAAGTGGCATGAGACAGAAGCAGGTTGCTGTCAAGGGGCCGAGCAGGAATAACATTGACCCAAACAGGGGTACATGATCGCGAGGAGGAAGGGGCAGGGTCAGACATGCGCGAGGGACTGCACTGCCCGCGCTTTCCAGAAGGGGCAGCATATTGAGGACCAGGATTGAATGGTGATCCAGAAATCTCCTCTCGAATAAGTGGGTGGCACTGGGCAGAGCCATTGCTCCCAGGCAACCTGGTATAACAAAAGAACGTGGCTTGAGCCAGACCGGCCTGAACCTATGTGACCTCAAAGAAGGTACGTGACCTCTCGGAACTTGAGTTTCCCACCCATAAAATGGTAGGGATAGTATTTCATTGCTCAGACACGTGCGGAGTATTACATGGCATGACATACGGAAAGTGCCTGGAACCAAAAAGACGACCAGTAAATGTTTAGCATTCAAAAGGAATTTAGGTGGAATTAAACAGTTTTGGAGAGGGGATGTTCAAAGACTCCTTCTCCGTCTCTCTCCCGGTCCTAACCAGGCTAGCCCTCAGCCCCCTTCACTTGGCTTGTAGCGAAGATGAAGAGGGCTCTGCAATGCTGCCCGGGCTCTAGCAGAGGCCCTGGACCTAAAACGGGTAGTGGAGCAAGGACAGCTCAACTCATGCGGGAGAAAAAAGCTTTCTGCTCCCCGCGCTTGAACCCTGAGCATCCTGTGCTTCTGGAAAGAAACGAAAGAGACTGGGAGGAGTACCAAACACGCTAACCGAGAGCGCCCCCCATGGGCCAGGCCTGGGACAACACCCTTTACTTGATCTATTCTGCTTGAATCCCCATAACACAATGAGGTGGGACATAACCATTGTTGTTTCCACCTTACAGATGAAGACACTGAGGGTTAGAGGCGAAGCAACCTGCTCTGGAGCAGGTTTGACCTTCTGACCCTGAGCCCGTGCTCCTCAGCAAGACGCTGAGGGAAGTTGGTGAGAGATGCTCTGCAGAGCTCCGCGGCTGTGCTGGGTGGAAAAAGCAGGATTTGGGATCAAGAACAATCAACTTTTACCCTTCCTCTCACATCCAGCTTTCCTAACTTGAGGCCAGGCGCTCCCTCCCCGCTGGCTCTCACTTTCCTGAGGACGGACAGGGAGGGCAAGGGGAGGCCCTGCTGGAGCAGGCACCGGGAGAAGAGGGGGCCACTGAGAGGGTCTTCGAGGCCCCCATGCATAGCCTCCCTCTTGGGGAGCTACCCTTCCCCTGGAAGCTAGAGAACTGGGGCTTGGGAGGGGCCAGGGTAGCATCAGCCAGGAAAGCTCCAGAGAGCCAGCTGGGCCAGGGTCACACCAGAAAAGGAGGAAAGGCGCCACGCGTGGGTCCCCTGCCACGGTGACATACTCGTGGGATGACCCAGGGATGGGGACAGGCAGCACCAGGGAACAGTGGAGTCGGGGCCTGGGACAGGCAGGCAGGAACAGGAACTTGCAAGGCACAGGCGTCGGCATCGCACATCCGAGCATCGGAGTCTGACCTGAGGCAGGAGTGTTTTTCTAAAACAAGCCCGTGTCCAGAACTCAGAGATGAAGGAACAGCCGCCTGCCACTTAGGAGTTGCCACTAAGGGCCTCCGTAGCCTCCTCTCTGGCCTGCCCACCTGAGATGTGACTGGCAATTTGGAAGCCACAAAATCGAAGGGGATCAGCCTGTTCTGTGCATTGGGTGGGGGGAGGCAGCCACCTGGGCCCGCGGCCCAGTTGTTCTCCAGTCTGCTCTTTCTTCACTGTGCCTCCAGACACCCCAGGACCCTGGGAGTAATTAACCCTCAAGAAGCCAAGTCTCTGGTTTTTCTTAAGAAAATGAAAACTCATTGAACGATACTTCAGCAAACAAAACAATTATTTAAATGCTTATGTTTTTAAAAAAAAATGCTTGACGTTTGCAAATTGATAGTCTAGAATTTGCTGTGCTTAGCTGAAGTGGGTATGGCAATGAAGGCGTTTAGGGAGTTCTCACAAGCCCTAGCACAGCTTCGAAGGTCACACAGAATGAGCAAAACTCTTGGCTAAGGGGACAGAGCCTTTTTCCTGTGACTTCGGTATCTGAACACATCCCTTAAATGTCAGGCCCAGTCCACAGGCTGGAACTGCCTAGGCAGTATCTTAAGTTGCCCCGGGTTTCGCAATCCTGTTTTCTCTCCCCCTCCCCGCCCCCTCGCCTACACACTCCTTTTGTGGATTAGTAGGCTAAACCTCTTTCTGCCTCTTCCCCCCTCCTCGTAGACTTTAGGCCCCTCCTTCCAGGGGCCCCGAGCTAAAGACAAGAATGACTTTCCTCCTGGTTAGAGAGATGGGCCTGCGGCCTTCCCTCCACGCCCATAAATCACCACTGCGAGGTCCGTGCCCCTTGCGGCAGCAGCGCGAGCTCTTCTGCTCAGAAACCGCCCGTGGCCCCGGCCCCGGCCCCCGCCCCCGCCGTCCGCAGCACGAAATGCCCACAGCATTTTCACGTGCACTTCTTAGTTGGCAGTCCTAAATCATGCGCTCTGTGTCCCTTGCTTGTCCCACGTCAGTGGCGGCAGTGGGCACTATAAAGTCTTCTCTCTGGGAAGCTTCGCCTGACTTCCTTCCTCGCCGGAGTTGAGAGCCCTTGCTCCCGCCACTCGGGAGCCCTGGGGGGCTTCCATCGCCTGTGTTACGGTTTTCGGTGCCTCAGCCAGATTGCCCGTGGCACGGGACAAGGTGGTGGCTGACTCCCTAGGGTGTCCGCACCTCCATCAACGTGTTAAACGACTGGAGTGAACTGAAGGCAGGAGTGTCGCCGCCACCTCCGTGCACCCATCTCAAGGTTTCAGCCCCGGGCTGGTGGAGACGGAGAATGCCGTTCGGTGGTCTCCAGCAAAGAAAGGGTTAATTCGCCCACTCCCCACCCCCCAGAAAGGCGAAGGGAAGAGTCCGGCAGAAGGTCCTGTTTACTGGAGCAGCCCGAGTCCGCGCGGCCCTCGGAGAGGCGTTGCCGTGGCTACGGGCCCGGCGCCCGCCAGCTGCGGATGAGCTCATTGGAGCGGCGGACTGGGGGCGACGGGCGGGGGACGGCGGGCGCGCGGCCCGCGCAGAGCCGCCGCGCCGGCGGGGAGAGGACGAGGCTGGGGGCCGAGCCCGCCTTCCGCTCGCCCACAGCCGCGGCGGGGCGCTGGGGACGCGAGTGCAGGGAGCGCGGCTCTCCCGGAGAGGCCCGGCTGACACCAGCGCGGAGGGCTGCGGGCCATGGCGCCCCGGGCCCCCGCCGCCTGCAGCCCCCGCCCGCCCGGGCGCCCCCGAGCTGCGCCTCGGAGCCCGCGGAGCCGCAGCCCGTCTGGAGGTAGGACCGGGCCGGAGGACGGTGGAGGGGACGCGCCGGGGGGAAGGGAGGAGACAGCTGGAGCTGCCCCAACCCGGAGTTGGGAAGTGGCTGTTTGCAGACCGCAGCCTGGGTTTCCCGTGTGCGGACGTGGGGACCGAGGCGCTTGAGCCCGACCTGCAGGACGTGAGCAAAAGTCCTGTCCAGACGCCCTAACGGGGTTCGGGATGACTTTTTGGGCCGAGCCGGGAAGCCGTCGTCCCGCGCGCCTCGGAAATCTGCACAAACTGGGCAGAGAGGGCCCCCTCCCTGCGCAGTGCTGGGTCCCAGGGCCGGGGGGCGGGGGGGCGGGGTGGTGGTGAGAGAGAGAAGAGCAAAGAAAGAATCGAGAATGGCTGAGAGGCCAACCCTTCCTCCCTGTGGTCAAAATTTGCAGTCTTGGGAAAGCAGGAAGGTGAAGACGACGGAATGATCTTTCTCCCACTTCTCCCCTAAGGGTGGAGTTGGGAAGCCCATGGTGCCCAGCAAGTCTCCACACAGGACGTAATGCTGTTTAGGAGTGTCACGGAGAACTTGATTCAAACCACTGCGAACAGCCAGACCTCAGCGGGGGGCGGCGGGTGGGGGTGGTAGGAGGGGATCCTGCCTTTGAGGGGCGGGTAGGGGAGCTGGGCAGTACCCTCCAGGGGTGCAGATTGGGGCAAGGGCGGTGCAGCAACTCTGCTTTAACCAGCTGGTGCTGGAGAAGGAGCAGGCAAACTCTAGCTGGTGCTGAGAGGTGCTTCAGGGATGCAACAGGGTGATACTAGGCACTCTCCAGTAATTTTGTCATTAAACTCTTCCACCCTCAGGGGTTAATACATAAAAGAAAAGAACAAAATCCTTTCTGCTTGCATTATCAGATATCAAACACACCAAAGGAGTGGTGAAGAAGTCTTTAGAAGGTCTGCTTAGGATGGAGCAGAATTCTGCCAGAAGTCAAGGGCAAACAGGGACTGTTGTTGAGGAAGGGTAGTGAAGAGGCTTGTGGAGAGACTGGCCTCCGGTCCTTTTGTGTCAGATTTGAACCCTGTGCATGTCTTGTATTCACTGACTTAACCGTTCCTATGTGCGTTCCTATGTGCTAGGCGTTAAGGACATAGTGATAAATACCTCCCCTCTTTCCAGGAACTCACCATCCAAGTTGGCCAGTCAAACAAAACATTAAAACCCATGCTGGCCGGGCCTGGCTGTGAGCGCTGCGTGCCAGGGCAGCAGAGCTGGGAGGCCCCCCGGAGTCCGTGCGTGCGGCTGGGGCCGAGCCCTGAAAAGTCCTTCCCCAGGAAAACAAAGTGGGGAAGGTTGTTTCTGGCTGAGGGAACAGCATATGCAAAGTCACCAAGCGGGAGGGAGGGAGGGGGACAGGCGAATGTGGGAGGAGCTCGTGGGTGCAGTGTGTTCCTGCAGACAAGCAGGTTCTCACTGAAACAGGAGAGATGGCATCAGCTTGTCACCCTAGAAAGCCCATATACGGTGCACCATGAAGCCGTGGCCCTGCGACCCCCAGGCCGAATGGCGGCAGTGGTGAGGTGGAATGGGCTGACAGTCCCAAAAGATAAAGAGGTAGAATCTGGCGACAGGCTCGGGCACAGGATGAGATAGCTTAAGACTAACTCTGCGTGTGGGAAAGCTCAGGAGAAAGCAAAGCAAAGCAAAAGAAATCGATATTTTGAATGGCCTGAGTTTAGCAGACCACAACCAGTTGGACAGTGAATTTGGCTCTAAATTTTCTGGCAGCTTAGAGACAAACAAAAATACACTGGATGGCATAGTTTTGGATTTGGGACAGCAGAAAGCATACAAGTTAATTTTCAGAACAAAAATTTTCCTGTAATTGAACTCAACTGGGGATGTGTCCTGTAGATCTTTGTGTAAACACTAAAGAGCGACGTAGAGAAATACGTTCCTGTCCACGTTACAAAAGATGGGAAGGTAAAATTCCATGTGACTGCCTCCCTATACCATCTTCCCGTTATGACCTGAGGACATACTGCGTTTTTGCAGGGGGCAGAGGGCAGCGAGGGCCCCAGGAACCTGATATGGAGGAGCCATGGTCCCTCAAATGCAGGAAGAGATGACACCTACTTTGAGGAATGTCAGAGCAAAGCACCCAGCGTTCCCAACCATGCAGGGCAAAGCAGGCACACCATAGTACGGCTCGTAGGTGGGTGGACTGAGGCTCGGGTCTGAAAAAGGGGCCATGCAGGGCAGAGTGTGTTAGGAAGGACAACATCCGGAAATGCTGACCAAAGGGAAGCAGGGAGAGTGGGAGCAGCTTTTGAGGATTCCCGCGCAGATGCACCAGTCTACTTCCCCGAGTGGTCCAGGTCTTCCTGCCCCCAGACCCGATGTTAAGGGGTAGGAAAGGGTGAGACTCAGGAGACTGGAGATCCACTCCGAGGAAGGCCAGGGAGGGTGGAGTCTTGTTTGCTGCAACACCAAGAATGTTGCAGAAGAACAAGGAATTCCAGCTGAGAGCCGACAGGTTCTGCAGACTCAGCCACAAATCTCCCAGCCAGGCCCCTTCCCTGTGGTTTCTGCAAAGGGACAGATCTGCAAAGCCTACGTCAGTGTGTCCTAAGGTCCCTCTAAAGTTTAAACCACTTCTTGCCAACTATAAATGTCTTAAATTTACAGTAATTAGGTATGAGATTCTACTGTTGCCCCCCCACCTTGCGTTTCTTAACTTTTTAAAAAAGATTTTATTTTTAGAGAGAAGGGAAAGAAGGGAGATAGAGAGGGAGAGAAACATAGATTGGTTCTGTCCTGCATGCACCCCACGGGGACCAAACCCACAGCCCAGGCATGTGCCCTGACCTAGAATCGAACCTGCAGCCTTTTGTTTTGCTGGACGATGCCCAATCGAGTCACAACCGCCAGGGCACATTTCTCAACAATTTAAACTCAGGGTGCACATCAGAATACACATTTCGGTGCCCTGAAACAACAGTGCCTGGGCCCTACCCTCAACCAATTAAACCAAAATCTCTGCGAGTGAGCCCTGTACACCAGGATTTTTTAAAGGGCCCATGTGATTTTAAGGTACAACCAGGCTGAGAGCGGCTGCTTTAACAGGCACCTGCAGGGTTCATTAGAGCAGGGGACAAATACCTCAGATTTCAAAAGCAAGGATCCCAGAGAATTTAAAATTAGGAAGCCTAATACTCACCATGAAATCAACTGCCTAGTTCAGCTTTCAACATGAAGATCTAAAGCCATCTGAACAAGCACAGATAAGGAGGCTGCTTACAGACACATTTTTGTGAAGCTTTGTGTGCATGTGTGAAACATTTTTTTAAGAGAAACTCTAGAAGTATAGTGATGAGGCTTCTGCAGCCAGATCTGCCTGGTCTAACACGACTGTAGGCCGTGGCGTGCTATACGCATCTCTCTCTTCTTGCCTGGCACCTTTCTTGAGTGCTGAGCCCAACAAATTGCCGAATTTTGTCTCTTGCTGTTGGTTTTGTGTTCCCATAACCTTGATCCCACATCGCCACAATTCCACATACGGTGTAGCTGAAACCTCTGGTGGACGTGTGGCCACAAGAGCCAACCCAGTGGGACAACCTAAAGCGCTTCCCTCTTTCTCCCTCACGCTTCCTCACTTCTCAGGACGGAAGCTGTAGCAAGAGTTGAATGTGACTTAGCACTCAGTTCTCTGCCAACCCACTGCAGCTGTAGCTAGGGCAGCCGTATGTACCCACTGGGACACACAATAAGGGGTCCAGGTGCATTGGCACCAGCAGATGTGATTTTGTACCACCCCTCGGTCCCTCTCCCTGGCCTTACTTACTCCTACCCCTAGCGTAGAGGCCTGAGCGCGGGGAAGAAAGTGGGTCAGGTGCATCCCCAGGGCTGCGTGTGAACTCCTGGTCCCCACGGAGTGAGTCAGAGGAGAAGGGTACCACTGTCCCTGCCACCACAGCTCACCATGGAAAAAATAACAACTGACCGCCTTTTCCCAGCAAATTGAAACCATTAAAACAGGACGCATCTGTAATTTTATTTGTGTTTCTCATGTCCCTGGGAAGTACAGGCTCAACCTCTTCCGATGGCATTTGTATGGGATCGTGCAGCGAATAAGGATTCACTTGGACCTTACGTGGTCTGGGGAAAATTTAGGTGGGGGAGAAGCCGTAGAGCTCTGATTTGGTCACTGGACAGGAGTGATGGGCAGCCTGAGACAGAACTTGCGTCCCCTGCTGCTGCAGTGGGACCGGCCCCTCAGCCCCAGCCTTGGTCAGGGTGGCGGCGGGGAAGGCGCAGGAACCCCCAGCCGCTGGCTGGTGCTCAGGCTGCTGCCGGGCAGCGTCTCCAGCTGTCGGGCTCCAGTTACTACTCTGAGCCGTGAGATTGGTTCAGATTCGGATCGAAGTGCACGGTCATCCGACCTCAAGTATGACTCCCTGGCATCTGTGGCAACTGTCATCCTTTACATCTGGTCCATTTCACTGTCTGTGTGTGTCAGTCAACAGACACACACAAGCTCCCAGGACATCAAAAAAAGGGCCAGTGCAGTCTGTTTGTCCTGCAGCTGCACTGGTGCATATGACGGGGTGGGAAACTGTCAGAGAGGACGGAGCTGCCCGGTGCCTCCCCGACAGCGAGACGGAGGGTCCCGCGCTTGTAGGGGCAGGGCCCAGAGAGCTGCTACTCCAGGCTCTCCTTTCACCCGACCTGGGATGGCCAGGATCCCGGGACAGGGAGGAGAGGGCCTGGGAAAAGGGTCAGAGAGGCTGCTGCTAGGCACCCCACTTCCCCGGGCTCAGGCTGCCGGGTGGCTGGAGGAGAAGGGAATGCCGCTTTCAGAGTGGAGAGACGAGTGACTGGAAGGGCCAGCCCCTGAGGCAGGGCCTCAGGCTCCTCCCATGTCCCCAAAGTCTGGCTCCCATCCCTAACCATCTTGCTGAGACCTTCTCCCAGGTTATTGCTGCTGCCTCCAAGGGCTGGTTTGCTCTTCTGGTTGGTCTTGAGCTCCCGAA